TATATATAAAGACGATAGATAGTGAATTAGAATTAATATAATATCCATACTTTTCAATAATTTCATTGATTTATTTTATCTTATTTAAATGTAATAATTAGAAAATTTTATGTCTTCTGTTATTAAATTCATATTTCGTATTAGTACCATGTTTTAAATGTAGACAATATTTTTATTTTTTGTAAACTAACCTCATGTAATTTATTTGTTCTTATGGTATGGTGTGGAGTTAATTGATGAATCTTAGCAAAAGTAATTCTACATGCATATTAACAAAAGTAATTCTACAATATGATAATTCTATTCTTTTCAACACATGTAACATTTGTGGTATTTTGGAAGGGTAAACTTCTTAGTACAATGGAAAGAATTCAATTGGTTAATTTTGTGACTGAAGATGCTCTTATTTATAGTTTTCAAGTTTACAAATAGCTTGCTAATTTGTTTTTTTAAATAGGAATTGATTCTAGAGTTTGGTCCTTACTTCAACAAGTTTTTTCATGTTAGACATTTTCTTTTATCTACTAATGATATTTTGAATTTTATATATATTAGAGAACAATCTTCTGTGAGAGATATCCAACATTTGTTTGGTAAATATATTGGGATGTTGTAGTAAATCATAATTCTTGATTATTGTAGAAGAAATTAGTGTTTGCCCTTTCCGTGAAGGATGAGATTCATGCGTATTGTTTTTTGCTTCAAGTGGATGCGGGAGAGGAGGTCTATGAGGAAGGGAATAGGTAGTACGACGAGGCGGAGATGGGTCGGAGAAGAGGAAGGTTGCGTAGAGCTAGTGGCAAAGGGGGTCGGAGTGGGAGCCAGAAAGGGAGGCTGAGAAGGAAACATAGCGGCGGAGGAGGAGAGGAGGGCAAGGGCGAGGTGGTCAGAGTCGGCGAGAGAGGAAAGGGAGTCGTGGGGAGGAGGAGGTGAGGATGGCGGCGAGGGCGTGGATGCAGGAACAAGCCTTGGACATTGATGCCCACCAGGAGTGCATTGGGTCGGTTGCGGGTTTCTAGGGATCGGTGGTGTTGGGTGTGGGCATGGACAAAGACGGCGACGATGAATCGCTGCGGTGGAACTCTATGTTCCTCTCACTTTTATAATTAAACACAACATTTACATTTGGTGGGGTTTGGGCAGCGAGGAACAACTTGAGGTTTGATTGGAGAAATTGAGGTTTTGGGAGAGGTTTGGAATCTGGATTTTGTCGCGTAACGCGGGTAAGATTCCGAACAACGTTGTTGGGCTTCAGAAGATGTCGGAGAAGGTTCTACATGCTAATAATTTGCTCCATTCCGAGGGTACTAGCAAGAGAAGCAATTTTCGGCGAGGGTTTTCCAACTAAGACGATCACACTGTGCCACATCATTAAAAATTGCGCAGTCAAACAAGTCAACATTCAGAAATTTTAACGTCGTCAAGTGAAATTGACGGCAAGGTTTCAATGACTCAATTTACAAAAATAGAGACCTAATTGAGGTCAAATAAAATACAAGGACCTATTGAGAAGATTCACGAAAATGGAGACATTCGAGATGATTAAACCTTTATCTTATTATAAATGTACCTATAATTCCTTTTGTATCAAAATGACAAGTAATTCCTCTAAAACTTAGATGAGCAATTATATTCATGATTTTTCTTAATAAAAAACTTCAACTTTATTAATTTTGTTTGAAAGTCGTTAATACCTCAACTATTGATGCGCGATATCCATGGAACAGGGACATTCAGGGGGCGTCAGGGCACACAAGCAAGTTCTCACAAAAAAGGTGTCAGTGGGCGCTTAAGAAGCGCTCAAGCCTCATGACAATACCTATAACACTTCAAAAATAGATTTTTATGTTCTCATAACTTTTTCTATTGATCAAGTTGGTTCCTTGAACATTAAAATTGATAGGAAAACACATTTATAAGTCAAAATAAGTATCCATTTGATCATTACACTCAAGATTAGTTGCATCAAACCGTTTTTGACACAGGAAGCACCTAGACTCAGATTTACACCTTATACACCAAATTTTTGCAACCTAGCCCCTTGAACAAGTCCTAATAGAGTCAATAACATATTACAAATCATCACTATAGCTCAGAACTTCTTATTTGAAAATCTCACTAGTTAAAACTCCTAAAATTGAACTTAAAAACATACAAAATTCAACATTTCAACTACTAATTCATTTTACCTCATATTTCTCTTAACCAAGAGTCTAGAAAAGTCATAATAATTCTCCCAATTAATTCCCAAATGTCCAAAATAGTACACACCTCTTACTCCTAAATATCACTACTCCAAACCCCATTTTTCACACTAAAAACACTTCAAAACCTCAACAAGAAACCACTTAGTGCTACATATCAGTTTAATCAAAAACACACTCGTCCACAAGTCCAAATAACCTCATAAACATGTTAAACTAGTTTCTTCTCACTCCAATACCTATTTCTCACCACTCTAAACCTTACTTTTTAAGCTTAAAATCCAAGTAATTGACTCTTTACTTACTCAAATGCTTTAAAATCATATTCAAAGACAATAACACTCTCAAACAACACAATCAAACAGTCGAAACATCACAATCACACCATTCCAATTATATTCCATATCATACTACTCAAATCATCAATTAAATATACATAGTATCGACCCAATTATACCAAATTCTCCAAAATAGATCCATATATTCATACAATACCAAATTTATGATACAAACACAAACTTAAAGCAAGAATTCTAGTTCCCTTAACTCACAAGAAATAGCCCCCAACTCAAATAACATTTCGTCGATTACTTGAAACCAGAGAATATCTAGACAAGTCATAATAATTCTCCTAATAATTCCCAAATGTCCAAAACAGTACACACCTCTTACTCCTAAATATCACTACTCCAAACCCCATTTTTCACACTAAAAACACTTCAAAACCTCAACAGAAAACCATAGTGCTACATATCAGTTCTTAATAAAAAACACACTCGTCCCAAGTCCCAATAACCTCAGAATTACACAATGTTAAACTAGTTCCTTCTCACTCCAATACCTATTCTCAAAGTCACTCATCAAAACTCACTTTTTAGCTTAAAATCCACAGTAATTGACTCTTACTTACTCCAAAATGCTTTAAATCATATTCAAGACAATAACACTCTCAAACACACAATTCATAACAGTCGAAACATCACAATCACACCATTCCAATTATATTCCATATCATACTATCAAAATCATCAATTAAACATACAATAGTATTGACCCAATTATACCAATTTCTCCAAAATAATCCATAATTCATACAAATACCAAATTTATGATACAAACACAAACTTAAAGCAAGAATTCTAGCCTTCCTGAACTCACAGAAAATAGCCCCAAACTCAATTTTGTTGATATTAAATTTTCGATTACTGAAACGCAAGAAATATCTAGGCGAACATACGAAACACCAAATTGAAAAGGACAGAGTCCTTAAAACTCTAGATGAACCGAGAATGAGTAGGAGAAACATGATTACACATGCAACAATACAAGATTCTTCTAAAAACATATTAGGAACGAGAGAGGAAAAAGGAGTCGAAACTTACTTGCTCTATTCTTGAAATTGATCGACTAGATGTGGAGATAACTCAACTGTGATCTCTTAGGAACTTCCTGATCATCAAACAGATGATCAAGGGATGAGAAATCTTAAAGAGATGTGAGAGAAAGTAAAGAGAAAGAGTTTTAGAGAGATAGACGTAATGAGACGAGTATAGAAAGTTTTATTTATATTATTGAATTATTTTAAAATAAAATACTCGGTCTCATTATTTTAATATACCTACCAACTCTAATAATCTATTTTCTAGGTTCTTACAAAACTGGACAAAAAAAACAAATCATCCTCAAATAAAAATTTCAAAAATAAATACTTTTAAAGAAACATAAAATTAAAATTACTTCAAAATTAAAAATCACAAACAAATATATGCATATCTATATTTTGCATCTTTTCAAACTATTGTTCACATATTTTACTAAATATTTATGATTTAATAAACTAATTCAATAGTTTCAGCCACCACTAACAAACTTTTAACTAGCCTTTCGAGTTCTAAGATAAAAATCAAACAAGTACACGGAAGTTTTAGAATTTCATGTTTTTTTCATTTTGGTGCTTTGACATTTTAAATCTCCAAAACTAACGTTACAAATCAAAAATAAAAATTAAGTACTTACATCAAATCCTAAATAATTTCAATAACTTGTTTTCTCTACATATACTAATATGGTATCTACGTGGACACTAAATTGACCTTTTAGTCTTTGAAAGATAATGTTAAAACGCTTTATATTCTTAATAATTATTTGCGTTAATGAATATTATTTATATATAATGGGAACTTACACATAAACACTTAATTCATTTAACTTCAATTGAAAGATAATGTTAAAACTCTTTATATTCTTAATAATTTATTTGCGTTAATGAAATATTATTATATATATATATATATATATATATATATATATATATATATATTTATTGGTGTTATAGTTATGTTTGGATAACTATAATAACATCTTATATTTTCTCTTGGATTAATTGTTTTCTATGTATTGAATGTGTGATGATTCTTTTAGTAGTTGAACATTAATACACTTTAAATATTTAAAATCAATAAAATAGTTTTTTTTATTAAACTTGTTAGTGTTTCAAAATGATGGCATAATGCTTCTTTTATCATTATTATTATTATTACTATTATTATTGTATTAAGATTAATTCAACCAAAGTACTATTTTCTTCCATTAAACTTTTACTCTATTTCCCCATTTCATTTATCTGCACTCTTTTACAATAATTTCAATTCATGATCTAAAATCTAAATCCTTCATCATGATCACAGCTTGCTGGAATATCTTTCTTTTTTTCTCAAAACCTTCTCATGCATAATTGCAATCTATCAACATGAAGGAATAGTACACACAAGTAAGCTGCTGCACGATATGTTATCAACCCTTGCCAGGCATTACCATAAAATTCACCACAGAAGCTAGTGGAACCAGGCAAGCATTCTGAGATTAATCTTCGTCAGAGAAAAAATCAACATCTTTGGGAGGACCCCTTTGAAGTTTTGCTTGTAATTCTAGATTTTTGGGCAGAACAAGTTCAGTACCCTGACCTGAAGTGGAGAAATATCTCTCCAGTACCATCTGGTACACAAAATATATATATAATAAAGTCAATATTCCAGAAATGTTTTATATTGTGATTGGAAATTTAAAGCAGATAGAGCATAAAACTTCATATCCCAAGGTCATATAACTCTATTAATATAATATATTGCCAAAAAAGCATTACATATAAAAATCATTTACCATGGCAGCAAAGGCATCAAGTTTCTTTTGTTGACAGGACTTACTCAAACCCCTGAAAGAGTATTGGGTTAGTTTCCTCAATAAAATACTAAACTCCCACACAATTTTGATTGAAAACTTTTAACAGTGATTTTCTAAATCTCATTTGACTTTCACATCCTCTAACACTATTTCCTCTGTGTTGAAATTCTCATATCAATTAGAGATAAGATCAATTTGAGTTATGCTTAAAGTCTAATATACCAACAATCTTTGTCTCACATCCCTCAACATGTCATTTCTCCATTCCCCCATTAGAGCACAGTAGGGTCTCTTATTTAAATACACTAAAAAGGAATTCAGAAGTTAAGCACATAATAGCTTCAATGGAATAAAAACCAAAACAGTCTCAACCTACATAAAAAGAAGTTATAACATGTTTCTCATTGGACACAGCGTGCATATTTCTTCACAAGCAAGTCTTATATGATCGGATGATGGTTTTAATTACAGCCTACTTAAATACTGAAGAACTTCAACATGGTTCTCTGTGAGAATGAGATTCCATAAGTATACACGGTTCTTTTCCCATCAATTTCCCCTCATGAAGCATATCATAACTGTGTCGACTACACTAAATGAATAGTGAATGAAAGATCCAGCAGTTTAAACTTTTCATATTGGTGACATTGTGACAATGCACCAGATGCCAAATCATTGCCAACAATACCATATCACTTATGAAATTACTTACTATTTCTAATTTAATTCACACAAAAAGATAGAATTTCAAAGGTTATAATACAATCAATAAAGAAGTTTAAAAACAATTACATGTTGATCATTCGATCCATGGCTTCTGATGTTGTCCCATGTTCATCTTGTAGATATACTCTCCAACCCCTGAAGTAGAGTTCATATATAAATAAAAATTAAACTAGTAATATAAGTACTTAACAGTTCAATATAATCCTATCAGGAGTCATCCAGAATTCCAAATATGTCATTCAAAGTTATTAGTAACTTAATGTCAATAAATATAATTGTTATTTGCTAAGGTCAACCACTTAATATAATTCATAACTCACGGTTCTGGTGGCTTAGCAGCTTCAAGAATGAAGATTATAACATATAAAGCTGAGCCTGATGCTATTGCTTTCATATTCTCATTACGGAATTCATAAATAAAGACAGAAGAATATAAATCGTCAAAGCTTCACTGAAATGGCTTACCTTTCAGCAGCTTGAACAGCAAGCCTTCCAGCAACACTTCTGACTTTGTTTGACTGAGGTGTTTCCTTCCCATCAGCAGATTTTGGAAGCCCAATTATAAACTCATCAACCTCCTACAGTTTTAAAATCATGTCAATTTAAATGTTATGTACCCTCAGAGAAAATAACCCATTCTTTAGTAGAACAAGAGAAAAAAGATGAATCCAGACCTCTTGTTCGGCAATGTTAATAATCTGAACCTCAAGCTTCTGTCCTCGCAGTTCCAACACCTAAATCAACTGCAGGCTTGTCAGGATTGATGACTGATGAAACACAAATAAATAATTCATAATTGCCGTAGAAGTAATGAGCATATATTAATATTGTCACAGTTAACTGCAGCATTTTATTATCAACTATAGCAATATGTGCTCCAATGGTAAATTTTATAAATGTACAAGATTTTGGTTTTAGTTCCTCAATGATTTGGGTTAGACCACCAATTTCATCCTTGAAGGATTACTTTCTCTTCTAAGTGTTCTCTAGTGTTAAAACAAAACTTAAAGTCTTAAGATATATCTAAAATCATGTTAAGTAGTCCCCCAAATATTTAAATACACTTCCAATTAGTCTCTAAACTTTACTAAAATACATCAATCTAAGTACAAAGATGATGAATATACAACCGAAAACACAGTAAAAAGATTACATCTTTAATTCACCCAAATTTCACTGAAAGAGGAAACTCTTAAAAGTAAAAGAGCAAAAGAGAAATTGTTACGGTTAAGGGGCGAATGGAGAAGCCTTTGCTTAGGGCAAGACCAGTGCGAGCCAATCCCAAGTCAAGGCCAAGGCTGAAACCTCCTCTCCATTGCGGCTCTCTCTTCCTCCGAAGTGCATTTGGGGGAAGTTCATCCAACTTTAGTGCATTTACTGTTAAGAAACTATGACCATACCCAATTTTACAATTCACAAAAGATGGGATTTTTCTAACATTGAGAGGGGAACAAGAGAGGAACAGTTTCTGGGGTGGCAGATGCAGCACTTGCTGCGACAACATTATTGCAAAGACTGAAAGAGAGTTTCAAAGAAACCAGAGAGGATAATATATATTGAAAGATTGAATGATTAAATAAGTTGGTAATTAATAGACTTAGGTTTATATTGAAATCAATATTTCTAATTCTTTTTATTGTGTAATATATTCATAATTAATGCATTAAAATACTTTTATGAAATATTCATAATAGATTAATTATAAATATATTATAATCATGTTTATAAATTTACTTTGACCGACAATTATGTAACTATTATATGGTATTATATTTTAATATTTATATGAATATGGTTTGTCATTTATTAATTGATATTGTGTACAAAAATATTTGTTAACTTATCATTAAAATTTTAATAATATTTTATGTTTTATAAAAATTATTATTTAATTAATATTTGAATAAATATAAAAAAAAATAGATATATTTATTTTGCCGTACCTATAAAATAAAAACAAATTTTAAGATAAATAATCAATTTAATATGATAATTAGTGACATGTTTTGTATTCTTAATACAATAAAAAGTTATAATTTTAAGAAAATTTACAATATCTTATTAATATATGATAACATTCATTTGTTGTAAGTATTATTGTCAAAACCCTTAAAATCTCATGATAGTGGAAACGTTGTAGGTGCAAGAAGCCTTAAAAATCCTGTGTGAATGGAAGGTAGGCGTTAGTGAAAATCAGAAAGTGGAAGAGCAGCGGAGTGACCGATCGGTTTTGACGGTAGGAGTAAAACTTAAGTTTTCAAATTTCACACCACTTTTCTGCATGTACTCTTCATCTTCAACCTTCTGAGTTTTCATTCTCTCCTCCTTCTCTATATAAACCTCCTACTTCTCTCTAAGAAATCTTACTCTTTTCTTCTTTCGATCATCATTCAGACCACGCCTGAGTATTCCTGGTGCCAAGAGCTACGCTTTGCACCGATCAAGTTTTGGGTTTAAGCTGGTAAGTTCATTCCTTCCTCAGCCGTGTGGTTTTCTGGCACATACAAACCAAGTTCTGGTTGCATGGATTGATCACTTTTCTATATGTAATTCTGATAGTGTTTTGGTCCTTTATTTTGGTCTAGTTTTGTAATCAGTGAATTCTAAGGGTAAAAGAAATTGTAGTGGTGAACCAGTATTCTGCACCTGTGAGCGTCAGGTCACATTTAGAGGTAAGGGAAGCTTATATAATTTGATTATGATTATTGTTTTGAATGGTTGCATGTTTGTTTGATTATTGGATGAATATGAAGTATAATTGTTACTGCATTTTGGTTGTATGAGTGAATGAATATAAATGATGAGGAATTGGATTGATATAAGATTTGATCTTAAGTTTGTAACTTCTTGTGTAATTATATGTTTATCAACGAAAGTCATTATTGACCGTTCGGTTTCTCATTGAGTATTCGGTCGGGACTCGGTTCTTCTTTTGGGAAGAATTCTAGTGAATGACCGATTAGTTTCCTCTTAGTATACTTGTAAATAAGTGCCTGTCTAAGTGTAGTTGTCTCCTTATATTTGGTATTCAATATTACTTACACATATACTAGTATATTTATCTTCCCTTAAAAATCCATTATTTGTATCTGTATTTAATTCTTCATTCTATAAGCTAAGTA